TGAAACCAACCTTCTATATACAACAAGTAAACTTACCATATTCTCTGATTACTTAATAACACTAATATAATTTTATTAATATGATAGGTTTATTTGTTGTATATAGAAGGTTGACTCCAACATGGAGCCAATTGTCTCCATAGCAAAATCGGCAGTTCTTGATATTCGAGAGAATCTTAATCATCTATAATGATATTACTTGTAGGCCTTCAACCATGTATATGATGTGTTAATATGAATTCTAATAAGACATCATTTCAAAGAGCATATGATGCAATTTGAATTAGTAATGATAGGGCTAATTGCTATAAAATATGTCATTTTTCATTCTTGTCTAAACTATATATATATAGGGTCACGCTCCGGTGAGAATGGTGCCTTAGGAAAGAAATAAGAATACATCCCAACCATTAGATTGGACAATCTAACGGATAAAAAAATACCAATTTCTTACATTCAATAAGGTTAATTCAGTAATTAATGCATATCTCAACATGAAACCAAAATTGTAGGCCCCACCAGCATTCATCACACCACCCATCACGTCTCTCTCTCTCTCAATCTCCCTCTCTCACACACACACACACACAAACACTGTTGTTAGCCTGCGACCGAAAAAAAAAAAATTCCGACCGAGAAAGGATATCTCACCGGCACCGTCGTTGGCCAATGCCGCAACAGCCGGCCACCGCCACCATCGCTGCAACACACAGACACACCCGCCGTGTTCTTCGAGTTCATCACAGCTGCCTCCCGTTCGCCGCTCCGGTCACGGGACATGAAATTGCAGAAATTGACTCTAGTAATTGTGGATCAAGATTTTACAAATTTGATAGATTTATAGATTTAGATTGACTCCAATACCAGCTTCGTGGAATTCATAGTTTTAGATTCATAGATTTAGATTTAGTAAATGAACTCTTTAAATTCACAGATTTAGGCTAGGAACATGATATTGAAAATTTGATAAATATGAAGGACTTATGTGCAATTTCAGGCATATTAAATTTACTAGTAAAG